GTGGTTTGAGCAAGGACTAGAAGCCAGGACAACTGGGATCTATCCCCAAAACTGCATCCAATCTGCTGGGTGACCTTGGGCATGTCGCTCCATGTCTGTTCCTCATTTCCCCCATATACAGAATGATAACGTGTGATAATGCTAGGTGTCCCCAGCCTCTGTTTGCCAGAAGTTGGGAATGGATGACAGGGGATGGACCACTTGATGATCACCTGTTCTGTTCATTCCCTCTGGGGCACCTGGCACTGGCCACTGTCGGAAGACAGGATACTGGGCTAGATAGACCCTTAGTCTGACCAAGTAGGGCCATTCTTATGATACTACTACCCTTCCTTCAGAGGCGGGGGTAGTTGTGAGACCTAATTCATTATTGGCTATAAAGTGCTTTGAGATCTTTGGATGAGATGTGCAATAGAAACACAAGATATTTATTAGAATGTGTTTTTAAACACTGCATAGCCCTTGTGATAGGGCTGTTACGTAAACCCGGTCTTTCTTTTTAGCAAGCTAGGAGACAGAGGAATGGTGTGTACGTACACACACACACACACACACACACACACACACACACACACACACACACACACGACCAGGTTTCTTATGCAATGAAAGGCAGAGGACCTCATCCCTGAAAGACAAGGTCCCTTGACTATCCTCCAACTGTACAGTAGCTCAAGAACAACATACAGCTCCTAGGGATCTGAGGTGTTCTCTCAGCAGGGGTTGTGTCGTCCGTTCAAAGCGGAGGAAGAAGCCAGAGAGCAGTTATAAGAAATGCACCGTGGGTGGCCAAAAACGTACTGACTCTCCGAGCCGCATACAGTACACTTCCGGAAGTTCGCCAGCTGGGTGCGCCTGCCAGGGCTCAGGGCTTCTGCCCTGCGGCAGGGTGGTGCAGCTCGGGGCTTCAGCCCCACCACCCTGCCACAGGCCAGAAGCCCCAAGCTCCCCCACCAGTCTGGCAGGCAGAGAACGGGGGAGGTGAGGGTGGGTGGGGGGACTCTGCGAGCCACACTTTAACTGTAAAAGGGCCGCATGTGGCTCGCAAGCTGCGGTTTAGCCACCCCTGAGATACGCCTCTCTCCAGGACTAGCTCACTGGCACTGCAGTTCTGTTTGGCACCGAAAAGCAATCACAGCCACTTCCTCGGCACGGTGAAAAAGCACCAGGAGACCCCAGCAGGAGGCAGTGCCGATGGGAAAGCAAGCTGCTGCATGGGAGCGACACACCTGGAATGGCTCCTTTGTTAGCCTCCCTCTGCTGACGTGAACTCCTGCTCTCATGCCCCGATACTCAGATCTACACTGTGAACAGCTTGGGGCTGGGATTGCATCATGTTAGATTTTTCAAAAGCACCTAGCGCACGAAGGGCACCATAAACAATCAGGGGCTTGGAAAATTCAGACCCCTTCTAGCCAAAAGCAAATGCCAAAGAGAGGGAGCCCCCGGCACAACCCAGGGACAGCAGCTTGTTCCTGTGCCTCGGCTGCTGCTCACAGTTTTGCCGTGCAGCAGCAGCGTGAAACGAAACAAGATCCTCGGCAGCCTCACAGCTGCCAATAAGGTTCTGAGCAACAGCCATGAAAGAGACAAGCGTGGTCAGTTTCACACCCTGGCTATCCCGTCAAGGGATTGATTAGCAGCTGTCAGTCTGCAGACTCAGGAAAACTCCACAGGAATAAGGCTCTCCTAAGTAGCCACCAAGCGTCTAGCCTTTGACACTTTTCTGCAGAAGTCAATGGTCCCATCCAGGCCCCTTCACGCGGCAAAGAAATCCCCCCTGCTCTTCAGGGGCAAATGGATTTTTCCAGCCCTGAAAGCAACGTGTGTTTTGCATCAGAAAACATACGACTCCTATGGTCATTGTTTTAGAGTCAGACCAAGAGAACAATCACGCGCTGATAGAGAAAGCCTCATCAAGAAATCCAAACCGTTCCACGGGGCTGGGTTTACCTGTCTATCAGGTTTCTGCTGTCCCCAGCAGGCTGGATCCCTGGCTGCAGTCTGCAGCGACAAGGTTAGGCCAAGATTACACACTCCCTTGCTCACCACCTCGCTAATTATTCTATCACCATATCCGAGACAATGGCACCACCACCTGAATCTAATTGGAGGACAGCTAGTTATCTTGACCTTGCAAGCACAGTGACCGCTAGTTTGCCCACTCTATTGAGAATAAACTCCTGCCCAAGCCTGGAATACATAACAGAGTCGGCTTGCACCTCAGAGACGCATGAATTCACCGTCACGCCTCTGCCGCCAAAGCAAGTTTTCTGCAAATAACCCTGTCCCCATCCCAGCAAATAAATGAAGCGGTTTCCAGGAGCAGAACACCAGCGAAGGTGGCTCTTGCCTTTGGCCCCCTGAAAAACAAAACTCAACCCCAGAGCTCAGGTTGAAGGACACACTAGGTTAGATAAAACTTAAAAGGAGTCTCATAAAATTAAAATCCCAGATTCGTACAGCACCCTCATCTCCCAAGAGCCTCGAACAGAGTTTGCTTCTCCCATTAGCGAAACATCGTTCCCTCTGGGAGGAACACTGCGCATCCCATAGGACACTAAGGTATGAAGCGAGGAACAGCCCCGTGTCAAATGAGGGAGAGCTTGGAGAGGCAGAACATGATCCCACAAGAGCAGGAGGGCTTGTCCCGGTTACAGCCCAACTCCAGTTTGGGGAAAGCGCTACAAGCCCTTTTAATCAACACAAGGAGACGGGGACCAGTTTAAATGTCATTTGAAAGACAGGACTCCCATCAGCACCGAGCAATCTGCTGCCACTCGGCGGCACTCCAGCCAAAGTACCCTTTACACCTCTTGCAGCACAAATGGCCTTTCCTGCCAAGTTTTGGAAAGGAGGTTTCAGCCAATCATGTTTATTCCCATGACTATGTCTATGTCCACACTTAAACCACTACAGTGGCACAGCGAGAGCAGGCCCCCTGCAATGTGTGGCGTGTAGACACTCACTACAGCGACAGGAGGGGCTCTCCCATTGCTCTAGTTTATGCACCTCCTTGAAAGGCGGTGGCTATGGCAACAGAAGAATTATTCCATCAACACTGTCTACACCACGGGTTAGATCGGCTTAACTACGTCTCTCAGGGTGCGGATTTGTCACACCCCTGAAAGACCGTAGTGATACCAATGTAAGTTTCCAGTGTAGACCAGCCCTGAGACGGGGAATCTGCCGATGCTTCTTTGTGGTTCTCAGGCCTTGCCTCCCAGGCTGGAAACATAGAAGATACTCCAGAGTAAACATCCCCCCCAATTCCTACTCCTTTCCAGGAATGTCCTCCTCCCCACCCGAATTCCATGCGGTGCCTCTCCCCATCTCATCACTTCTGACTCCCCTCTTCCCCCCTCCGCCAGACTCTCCTTGAGGTCTGTCACCACCATCAACCCCATTCTCCCTATCCCCTCTGCTGCGCGCCTTGACCATCTCACCTTGATTACCAAGGCCTTGTCTGATCCCTCAGCCTCTCCATCCTCCAGTGTGGCCCGAAGGCTGCTGCTGAAGGTACCTTCCCTGATCCTACACTGGCATCTTCCCCCACTTCCACTTCCTTCCAGCATTCCCATCTCACCTCAGCCCATTCATCATCTTCACCTAGAGGCCTGGGCCTACACAAATCCTCCCCCACCGATGTGTCTGCCTCATCGCCACAGTGCCTAACTTCGCTGTTCCTTTTGCCTCCTTCTCCCCATTCTCCGCGCCGTATCTCAGAATACTCCCACCTATGCCAGGAAGAGCCTGGCTGTTCTCACCCATCCAACACCGCCTCTTCTCCTTGTAGCACCCACTTCAAAATGCCCTTCTTCCACGGATCCTTCCTGCCCTCCCTCCCTCACAACCACCCTTACCCAAACTCTTGCCCTGTGACTGGTTTTCAGTTCGCCTCCTCTACTTTACGCTGCAAGCTCTTTGGGGCAGGAAGTGAGTCTCACCCCATCCAATCAAGCACAGGTACGCGAACAGCAACGTACAAGGGGTTCGTTTTATTAATAGCAATAGGCATGATCAGATGCTCCTTTTCCTGCATCAAAGATGGTGTCCATTGCCCCAGCAGGAGGTCTGGTTAGGGTGAGCTAAAGGCCCCATCTGGCCATAAGATCTATGCACTCGCAGAGTAGCAGAGCCTTTCCCTGCCCCCCAAAAACGCTGGTTTGTGTAGTTAGCTAGCCCAAAGAAACCAAGCAATAGCCTTCGCACCCCATCCTTGGGAACAGGTAAAAAGTCTCCCATGGCAGAGCCCAGGAACGAGCCACTAGCCAGCCACTAGGTCACCTGTTCGTGAAAAAAGTCCGAGAAGAGACCAAGGAGTAAGGGCCCTTCCGACTTTGTAATTCCATTTTCTCTTTGCCGCTTCTACAATCCTTACATATAAACATTTCATTGAAGTCTTCAAGTCACATTACTATCAAACTTAAAAGCAAAAGGGCCTAAATGCATTTGGTCGAGAACCAAGACGATTCCCATAAAAGCAGATTATGCTGACATGATGAATATAAAATGAAACAGCAGATATTAAAGTTGGAGAATTGTTACTGCATGCCTTCCGGCTCCAGGCCGGCTCAACCCCCCTCCTGCTCCCGCCCCCTTTGTTTTACTGAACGCAAAGCAAAGCAACGCAACACAACCATAGCCGTTTCACCTTTCCCCGGTTTCCAAAGTAGGCTGCAAGTCTTGAAATATTCAATAGCCTAAACCCATCCCCCACCCCCTTACACACACACACACACACACACACACACACACACACACCCACGTCCCTTGTGACAATGTATTTAGCTATTCATCTAGTTACTCGTGGTAGGTTGCACGCCCTGTACTTATCTGTCA